TTTACCTGTAGCTTAACTCATCTGCTATCATGGTGAATGTCAAAGTAGAAAGAACTGTGTTACTGGCACAATCTCGATTGACAAAATCACTCACCCATGGGAGTGGCTCCCATGGGTGAGTGGATAATTTTTTACAATTTCGCTATAGGGACAGGAAAACTTGACTGAACCCATACAGGAAATTAAATTTGTTTACGTGGCAATGAAAAGCCGGTTTTCTTCAAACCATACCGAAACCGGGTAGACAAATTCGAAAATCAAGCCAAGTCATTGTTGCCCCAAATCTCTCAAAATCCCCTCTGCCTCTCGTTTCCCTTCCTGTAGCTCTCGCCCTCGCCGGTTGAAAATTCGGCAGCCATAGCGTAACTTCTTAGTTGCCGTCGGATTTTCGTCTATTCTTACCACCCTCTGGCTAACCCCTTGTTCAATTTGTCCACACCTCCAAAGAAATTCGTCGGATCTCCCCCCCCACTCTTTAACATCCGGCCAAAGTCCTTTCTCCATCTCCGGCAACACATTCGGTCCAGGTAGGGACGGGTCCTTTCCGTTGTTGACAGAAGTCACCGCCGTCCGTCACCAAATCCGTCCACTTCCCAAGGCTAGCACAGACTTGGAAAATCTTTGGAGGTTTTGTTTGTGTGTTGATTTTGTGAAGATCTATGACAATTAGTTATGTTGAAAAATTGTAATCTGAATATGTGATTTGGGAATCTCTATGTATTTGTACAATATAGAATAACTAGGTATGTAAATTTTCAATCTTGCTACTGAGAAGGCCAACACTGGAGTGTCTCTATGGATTGAATGGAGCCATTGTTCGGAAATTGGGGATTTTATCAAAAATTATAACCCCAACTTCATGTCTTCGAATTTGTGTGATCATTGCTGTTGGGAATTTACAGGTTAATACAGCATCAATAACAGTAAGCATGAGCTAAAATGCAGCTTAAACTTTTCTATTTAACTCATAACCAATCTCAGAATCAATACCCAATTCAGAAACCATTACATACACAACATCAATGTTCATCAGTAAGTTCGTGAATTCAGTGTTATCAATGTGTAATCACAGTAATTTCAGCCATAATATAATTGCAGAATATACACAATGTATGTATAATATAGTCTCAGTCTAGCAATGTACAAATTAACAGGTTTTTGGAGAAGACCGAAATTAACAGAAAGCCAGATATACAGAGCATGTGCAGAACATATAAATTAACAGGAATTAAGCTTTGAAGGATGAGACAGAAACTCCCCTATTCACAGTGCAGCTTCTCTTCTCTTTTGGTCGAGCCCTCGTTCATCACTTCCCCTCAATGGCTGGAGTGTTTAGGCTCAGGAACGACCATCCCACGCTTGCAATCCACCATCCAGAGAGAAAGAGAACATCAGAAAAACCCTCAGTGAAGAATCAGTTTGGTCATAGATCGAAGATCTCCCATACGGCCATGATTCTACCAAAGGAGACTATACCAATAATCTAGCCACTATCTCAGGCCTAGAACCTCAAGTTATTGGTCACTAAGTCACCGGTTTTCCACCCTACACAGAGAACTCCCGAGAAGGGAGAACCAGAGAGCTCAAGTCGAGAGAGAAAAGGAAGGAAGAAGTCGTATGGAGGAAGCCAATGTTTTATTCAAAACATTGACCAAGGAAATATCTACCAAGAGCAAACCCCAGCCATAGATCAAAATCGAAGGCCACACATAATCCTCAACAAACACATGATCCGGGTACACTCCATGTAACCAATAGGTGAATGCCACCTGGGCAATATAGAATGAGGGTAAAGAAACCGGCCCAACAAGTTAGGAGAACCACTGAGGCCCAATAAACTTACAATTGCGATTTGCATTTCGTTTTGAGTCGTTTTAGTATAATTTGGGGAAAAATAATTGGTAGTTATAATGTCGAACATTTTTCAGCAATTATTATTATAGTGTGAATTTGGTAGGATCTAATTGCCAGTCCCAAACACCATGACTTGATCAACCTGATCACTGGAGTTGGTTTACAAATTACCGACCAAAATAGTAAATCTATTAAGGCTCAAACTAAAACAATTAAGCTAAATTACAGCAATTAAGTTGAAAGTTAAATGGCATGCAAAGAAGTGGCAGGTATTGTAAGAGCTATAATATTGCTGGTTGCATGAAAGTCTACACAATGCTGGAATTAAAATAGGTACTATGAGTGCCTCATAGATAAATAGCATTTGTTCTTTTACGTGAGGGGGGTCGTAGTTTTTGGTTGACATGACAGTTGTGCTTTATATGACTGACCGACGGATTTTGTGCAAGCATTGTTTTTGCTAAAACCACTGTTTTGAACCACGGAAGATAAGTGGCCTCCTTCTTTTAACAGCATCCTAATTAAGCTGATTGATAAGAATAATTGAGTGATATTCTAGCTTAGTGGCATTTAAACTACATGAAGTAATTCTGTAATAGTTACTGAAATTTAATGTTTAGTTTATGAATGATGGAGCATTTCCTACTTATTAGCTTTATGTAACGTGGGACTTCATATTTCCATAGCATTCATGTGGGTTTATTTGTTTCATCAACAGTTGTCGATTAGAATGAGAGGAAGGAATTTTGGAGTTTGTCACAATTGTAGAAGTAACAAAGAGCAATTGTTCTTCACATGTAGTAATGATTGTGGATATTTCGAGTAGGTGAAAAAAGAAGCTTTAAACGGGGAGTCGAGCACAATTAATAAAGCGGTGAATCATGAGCCCAACGAGGAAGATGAAAACTTACCAAGATTATTTGACAGTCTAGCTCGAATATCCAAAAAATGAGATGTCGACATATCATTGCACTTAACATTTAGAAGGGAAAATGAATTGTCGAATGTGATGGGAAAGGAAAGGGATCGACTGCAATGGGTGATAAGAGTTAAGTTTGTGGTAGACAGAGTACTATGACCTTTTTGTTTTGTATTTGTTATATGGTTTGTTGTAACGTACGACAAATGTACAAACTTTGAATGTTTTTACTCAATAATTTAATTGTACTCATTTTAGATAATTTATTTTCATTTTTCTAATCTAAGGTCTCTATATTGTGTCTGGCCTAATGTCCCAAAATCTTAGGGCTAACCAATGTAAAATAATAGCTACTACAATAATTTGCACGGTTAATTTTCATTGTGATTTGCGTTTCGTTTTGGACATAGGTTCACTATTATGCTAATCGTTTTTCCATATAATGATGGTTCGGACAAAAATGAGTTGAGATAAGCTATTTGTAGAACACAAAATCGAACATTTATTAACATCGCAGTCAGCAGTTCATTGGATTATGTTTTCAAACGCAGACTTCAAGTAAAAGGATGCTATAAATTGACATATTCAAGGTCTTTTTCACCAATGAATCACTCGCCATAGTACTAGAGTTACAACTTCACTACAAAAGAAGTTTCTTCATATCATTCTTGGCAAAAGGAACATAATCTGCTAATTTTGTACAAAAGTAATTGCAAAAACTCAACAATAAAGCCAATCTGGAGCTAATTCTTAAAACTAGTACAAGAATGATCCACAATTGATTTCCTATATAGGCTCCACCAGTATTTCTAGATTAGTGAGAAGAGCATCCGATATCCAACCAACACTCACAAGACTCGTAGCAAACGAAACATCCAAAAAGAGCTAACAAGCTGCAAATTAGGAAAGAAGAATATGGTGAAAGCAAGAACAATTAAAGTTGGCATGTTAGATGACCTGAGCACATGCTTTCTAGATGTATTCTCAAAACTACAAATCATTTTAAAATAATAGAGTTCAGCTATGATTTTAAAACAAACCCAGAAACATTAAACCATCCAATTCTGTTAAAACTACAATGATCAGATATGAAGTAAACATCCATTATTTACATTAATTTGTCGAGCTATGAGAACTAAAAGGCCCTAACACTTACATATAAAGATCAGATATGAAGTAAACTACAATGAAATATATGAGTACTTACCTTTGTCAGTCATCTGCAGCGATAGCCCTTTAATTTTTTTTTTCAGGAACAGATTCGATGTTGGCTTTTGGGGGGCTTTCGTCACCGTAAATGTTGGAGATGGAGAAAGGACTTTGGCCAGATGTTAACGAGTGTTGGGGGGAGGAGATCAAACAAATTTCTTTGGAGGTGTGGACAAATTGAACAAGGGATTAGCCGGAGGGTGGTAAGAATAGACAAAAATCCAGCGAGAACCAAGAAGTTACAATGCGGCTGCCGGATTTCAACGGACGAGGGAAATGAGAGGCAGAGGGGATTTGAGAGATTTGGGGGCAACTGTAACCAAGAAGTTACGGTGCGGCTGGCAGATTTTCAACGGGTGAGGGCGAGAGCTAAGGTAGGGAAACGAGAGGCACAAGGGAGTTGAGAGATTTGGGGGCAACAGTGATTTGGCTTGGTTTTGGAATTTGTCTATCCCGTTTCGGTTTGGTTTGAATGAAACCGGCTTTTCATTGCCACGTAAACAAATTTAATTGCTTTGAATTAAGACCCTTGTACACCAAATTTGACTACATTCCCCTCACAATAGAGAGGGGACCCACTTCTTTTTGAAAGCGGGCCCCCTCTATTGTGAGAGGGTGTCATGCTTTGAGTGTACATCAGTCATGGTTGGGGTTCGGTCAAAATTTCCTGTGCATTGAAATTGAATTTATTGAATTTTTTAAACACAGTGGAACCCACCACTGAGACAAGACGAGTGGTGTTTCGGTGGAAAATGACTTGGCCAATTGTTTCTTATTCTTTGTCTTCTGTGTCCTTTTCTTCTGGGTCTTCGCCTTTCTCCGTGATTGTCTCTGAATGTTATGCAATTTCATTTAATTGTGGATTGATTCTTCAATTCCTTTTATCTCTCATCTCTTCTCAATTTGACTTCAGCTGAGATCGATTTCCGGCGACTTACGGTTGAGGGGGAGCTGAATTTGGAGTCCAACCGTGACACAGAAATGAGATTGTTTATGAATTGAATGTAGCTGCAGCTTAATGGAGCAAACGATTGTTGAAAATGGAGTTACAGAGACTCAACTGCTTCCTGCTCGTGATGATGCATATGGGGGAGTTGTTGTGGAAATGGAGAAGCCTATGGACCCCAATTTCTTTCATAAAATGCTTAAAGCTTCGCTCTTACAATGGAAGCTGCAGGTGTTTGTATCATTTATCTTCCTTTTATGCTAAGCTTTACCATACTGAAATATATTCTACTCTTTCGAAAACCACAAAGAAAATTTCTTGAATGCTATAATTAGGACTCTCTCTCTCTCTCTCTCTCTCTCTCTCTCTCTGTGTGTGTATTTTGGCAATAGGCAAGCATCCATATACGTGCACAATTTTAGTAAGCAAATATTGCCAAGATTAATAAAGGATTGCAAAATACTGCAAAGGCTTGCAGAAGTCTTCCAATTTGAGCTCTACTATTAACATTTGGTGCATACAATTGTTGATTTTCTTTTCCATCCTATAATGCATTTTGGATGCTTAGGAGCCAACTTCTCCATACGTGCATACCGCTCCATTTAACTCTTAAGTCTTCCACAACATTTTTCTTTTTCTTTTCTTTCTTTCTTTTTTATTTTTATTTTGTACATTTGAGTTGCATTCTATGGGATGACCTGCTTAGAATTATAATCAGAATTACTTGCTAAACAATAATGCTTGTTGATGTTTTTCCCTTTGTTAGCTATTGGCATGTGTCGAACTGCAAAATTTTCTACTTTTATAACCGTGCAGGTGTAAAATGATAGAGAGACAGATTTTTTGTTGAAACTTCTACATGCATAAACTAAGCTAGCGAGCTGTACCTTTCATCATAGAACCAAATGTCTGGTTCATTTGTAGGCTTAAAGGAAAGAGGACTCTTGCGGCAGTTAAACTAAAGTTGATATTCATCTGATTTGCAAGTTTTGTTTAGCTAATTACTGAACTTACAGAATAGAGCTATTTAATTTACTATTTTCTTACATTTTTCATTAATAACATGTTTAAGAAATGTAGGATGGTACTGCAACACTTTGGCTTTGAATTATTCTCGTAGTTTCTACTAGCTGCCCTTTTACAATGTTTCATTGGTCTTGGAAATTTGTGGACAGAAACATCTAATTTCCTTGAATCTATTCTGCAACTACTTGTGCTACCGAACTTGTAAAAGAATTTCTATCAGCCACACTCAATTTGCATGAGCAAATTCAAATAACTACAATTTAGATAGTTTTCTCCACTTCATTTGCCTAATATAAGACTTTCTCCACTTGAAGTGTAATGTTGACCCTGTACATATATCGGTAATCATCTAATTTGCTTTCAGATAATTACCAGTTCTGAGTGAAACTAATTATCCCTTGCATCACTATTTATTGTAATTAGTATTTGCAAACTATCAACATGCTTTAGAAGATTGCTCAATGGCGATGTACTGCAGAGTCAAATGTTTAAGTTTCAATATGGCATGGATTTCTTGTGGTCAATAAAATAGAAATTATCAAAAATGTATGCAACACCATCCTAAATGTTTCTGGTTTTCTGTAATTTTTATGATTGTTTGATGAAGTTATTTATCAGGGCAAGAAGGGTGTGTGGATCAAATTACCAATTCAACTTGCCAATCTTGTTGAAATTGCAGTCAAGG